CTACCTCTTTATGCTTTATGGAATATGTGAATATTGGTAAATGCATGAATAGATAATATTGGTCTCATATGTGTATTTAATTAATTTCTACACTCGATCCGAATACGATAAAATTCGGTAACTGATTATGGTTCAGATGACTTTTTAAGAAACTGATGGATTATTAGAATTAAAATTACAAGTTATGTGTATAGTGATAAAGGTACTTGGATGGGAAATTATGAGAATATTCCAGTAGGGTAAAATTATAGAAATACCCTTATGTTGTAAGATGACAAGAATTGTCCCTGGAAGTTGTTTAATAACTCTGAAAGGATATATTGATCTGATAAAACTATATATGTGCATAAAAAATGCTAGTTTGCTTAGAAAATTTGGATAATCGGTTTTAACCCAATAGAGTTTATACAAGACTAGAAGTCTGTTAATCAATCATTTCAAGATCCGAGAATGTTCGGGTAAGCAATTAAGCATAGAATCTCTAAACTATATTTATTTTCGTTAGGAGTTAATACCAAAGTATATGGGTGCGAAACTACAAAAATGCCCTTGAGAGTTGAAAATAGTCCAAGTTGACTCTGAATGAGAGTAACCTGAGAATTTGTTTTTAAATCGATAAATTACTGATTTGATTGTTGGGACGATAAATTATGATTTGATTGTTGGGATCCTATCTTTGTATGGAAAATTCTAAAAATTCGTTACATTTGAAAAGACATTTAACTTGGAAATTACCGAATTCTGAAGAATGAGTTATCGAAGGTGCTCTTTAGTCAGAATTGTTTGAAAGGACTGAAGTAAGTGATAAGATTAAATTAAATATAAGATCAGACGTAAGGAATGATGGAAATACATTGGATCTGTAAAGTGACCAAAATACCCTAGAATGGAAATGACTCAAGAATGTCACCAAGCTCGGAATGAATGGATATACTCAAGCTTTGAAATGAATAAAACGTTAAGCACCAAAATGACCAAAATGCCCTTATGACCTAGAATAAGTAAAATGTCTTGGATTAATTAAGAAATCCAAATAAACATGGATGTTGTTGCTACCAGTAAAGTTATGGAACACAGCTTAAGTGATCAACCAACGCTAGTCTATATCATTACCTAACGATATAAGTACCACTTGAATGTTTGTTCATCGTCTCAAATTTAGATCGATGATAATTCTGGAAGTACTTGGCTCAGCTCAACTCTAGAGCGCATACAGTACTAATAAGTGGGTATTCATGAGTCAAATCAACCACGAATACCAGAATGATTTTTATTATATGAATAAATTGAACTGAAATGAAGTACAACAGTATTTGAAATTCAGAAATGTCTGAATTATTCTACAAAACTCTAAAGTAACTGTGATAGACTTGCTTACTAACGAACTAAGTAACCTCAATGACTGAGGATTAAATAGGTGATTGGATGAGTTTGGAAACATTGTTGGACATACATGATGAATTCCTTATGGGTTTAACCATGAATTAAGTACGTTTGTATTCCTGATATCGTTGAAACGTGGAAATGAAATAAAGACCGTTGGAAGATCTATTCAACGATGATTATGGGGATGATCTATGGATCTACATTATGGTATTAAAAATGAATACACTGGAAGGATGATGAATTGATTTGTTGACATGTATCAGTTTGGGAGTTGTGTAACTCAAGTTGTTTGATAATACGATCGATAGTCATAGACTGTAAATGATTGAATCTTGGATTCTATATTTTTCATCTAAAATCACTTTATATTTCATCTAAAATCACTTTGGTCATGTTTGAAACACAAGTAACGCAGAAAGAAAAGATTCTGAATACCTCATTTGGTTCAATTGGGTGAAATCCTATGAATTCAAAGTTATTCTGAATACCCTGATTGTTTGGGTAATGGAATCACTCGCAGTAAATCTGAATTTAGAATTATTATGTATAAAGGTTCCTGAACGTTTTCCTGATGCACATGGAAACTTAGTGGAATTCTAAAGTATCAATTTGAAGTGTCTGATTAGATCAGTTAGAAATCGATTCTCTTCAATAAGATCTTATTCCTGGAATACGATCAAATTGCACAAGTTCATGTTATCCATACTGATAACTACAAAATGCATCTGAAAATATTTGGATTCTAGTGTGTTCCTTATATTTTGAAAAAAATATTTTATTGTTTTTAACATGTGGTACACTGAAATCTATGGTTACTGTTTGGATGCACCGACTTAACGGTGATGGCTTATGGATTTGTATCATTGTATAAACTGTATCTTGGAGATACAGATTTGTAAAGTACAGCTCTGATCAAGCTGGAAACTTTTTATGGACCTAATGTGACTCTTAGGTAGGCTCTGCGGCCTTGAGATCATTCTCGGGTAGGCCCTGCGGCCCTAAGATGTGTTCTTAGGTAGGCCCCATGGCCCCGAACTTTCTTGGGTAGGCTCTCAGGCCCTAGATGTTGCCTTAGGTAACTCTTTGTAAGATGGTTTTAAAAATACGAGTTAAAAAGCTCTACTACAGTATAGTTTATGAGATTTATTGAACTATCATTTGATTAGTGTACCTATTATGATTTTATCGTACTGATGGAACACACTAAACATCGTATTCGACCTCATGAAAACATGACTGTATGAAAGGTTTCTTATGAATTGATTCATGGCTTCTACTCTATGAACTACTAATGGAAACCCAGATTATTCCGCAATTGGTATACGGTTGATTCAATAATGAAATTATGGTTTCCCATTTATCTACATGTCCTATAGCATCATCTGGTAGTTTTGTATTACTGAGCTTTTCGAAGCTCACTCTATTACTCACCATTGCAGGTTAAAAGATTGTACCAGTACAACTATCAACATCAGTAAGGGAGTTCTTCCGGCGTTGCTTGCAGAGTATGGTACATGTGATTAGGGGGCATGTAATTGTATTTTGCTTTATATATGAGTCTGAAAATCTATTATTTCGAATACTGATAAATTTTATTTTGTAATCATAAATGATTTTATGAGTTTACATGTTTTAAGAAAGTTTTAAATTTTTCGTTATTTTTTTAGGTGGGTCGCTCCTGTGGCCCTAATGTGACACTCCAGATCAGATCGATCTATCCGCATCGGTCTAAGGTTATATTAATTCACGCTTAGAGGAGCTGTATTCGAAAATAGACATTGGGGAAGACGATGTCCGTATTATAGGAATTTGCAGAATGGGCGGCCTCGGTAAAACAACTCTCGCAAGAGTTGTTTACAACCAAATGTCATCTCATTTTGAAAGCAAAAGCTTTCTTGCTGATGTTCGAGAAGTTTCACAGAAATGCGGACTAGTTTCTTTACAAAAGCAACTTCTTACTCAAACCTTGCATGACGGAGGTATTGATGTATTGATGTTGAAGAAGGAAAAGCCATCAGGCACAGGTTGTCTCACAAGAGGTTCTTGTTGTTATTGATGATGTTGATAACAGACAACACTTAGAATGCTTGGTTGGAAGGCGTGATTGGTTTGGCTCAGGGAGCATAATCATTGTAACAACTAGAGTTGAGCATTTGGTCTGATCTTACCGAGTTGATGATGTGTATAAGCCTACAACATTGAACTCCAATGATGCGCTTCGGCTTTTTAATTTGAAAGCCTTTGATAGTGAGACAGTGTTGGGAGATGTTTTTGTTGAGCTTTCTGAACATGTCGTACGTTATGCTAGTGGTCTTCCCTTAGCTCTTGAAGTTTTGGGTTCATTTTGTGTGGTAGAGACGCAACTCAATGGAGAAGTGCAATCTAAAACTCAAAAGAGATTCTAACAATGAAATCCTCGACAGACTTCAAATAAGTTTTGATGGATTGGACGAAAGGGAGAAGAACATTTCTAGACATAGCATGCTTCTTCAATGGGGAGGAGAAAGATTTGTAATGAAAGTATTAGACGGTTGTGAGTTTTTCCCGGATATTGGAATCGATGTTTCTTATTAAGAAATCTCTCATAAAAGTCGGTAAACACAACAGTTTGTGGATGCATGGCTTGCTAAAAGAAATGGGAAGAAAATTGTTTGGAAAAAATCTATTGATGAACCTGGTAAACGTTGTAGATTGTGGGATGAAAGGGATGTGCACATGTACTAATGAAAAACACCGTAAGTATCCCACTTTAGTTAGAAAATATTTTGCTTTGTTCAAAATGTTTTACTAACTATAGTTTGACCGGAAAATTATAATAATGTTAAACATAAATGTAGCTCTTCTCGAGTTTTATTTTGTGTTTTCTTGTATCTTACTCTTCATTGCTTTTAGGCCTCAAGATGATTGAAGGCATGATGATCATCAACAATAACAGGTATGAAAACTTGTACCCATATATCTATGCATATTATGAATATTGTCATTGTTTTCATGTACTTGGTCAGTCCTTCGAAGCACATTTTGTTTTGTTCATGGTTATTAGAAAACAAACAAGAGCCTCAATCTGAGCGCCGGTGCTTTCTCAAAGATGAAAAAATTGAGATTGCTCAAAGTCCTTAGTCTTCAAAATTGTGAGAATCTCAATTATCTTTCTGATGAGCTACGGCTTTTAGATTGGCAAGGATATCCATTAAAATCTTTGCCTTCATGCTTCCAACCGGACAACCTTGTTGCACTCCTCTTACCATACAGTCACATTCAACAATTATGGGAGGGAACCAGAGTAAGAATTAGTTATATAAATTAAGACTAGTGATTCAAATGTGATTATGATAGAAAAATAACAAAAAAAAATGAGATTTCTTACGTTTTCTGTCTAATATATTATTGTTTTCAGCAGCCCTAGTATAAGTTGAAAATGATGAACCTCGAAGGGTCCCGAAACCTGATCAAGATACCAGACTTCACATTGACCCCGGAGCTTGAAGTTTTTGGTTTTGGAAGGTTGTACGAGATTAGTAGGTGTTCATCCATCTGTTGGAGTTCTTAAGAGGCTTAAGCTTTTTAATTTAAGAGGCTGCACAAGTCTTAGGAATCTTCCAACTAAAATTGGGATGGAATCTCTTCAAACATTAATTCTTTCGGGCTGCTCAAATCTTCTAAGGTTTCCAGAGATTGATGGGAAAATGGAATGTTTAAAAACTCTTGATCTTTCCGGTTGTTATAAAGTTGGAAATTTGCCAGGGAATTTGCAGCAATCAGAATTTTTGGAGGTGCTTCACTTAAGGGAAACAGCAATAACAGAACCACCAATCTTCATCTTCCGGTTTAAACATCTTAAGGTTTTGTCACTCAGTGGATGCAAGGGACGATCATTTAAGTTGCGACCAAATCTGCCTCCTCTCTTTGAAGTGTTCCAAAGAGGGAGGACAAATTCTATTCCTCTGATGTTGCCTTTGTTGTCAAGTTTAAGTTCATTAACAGAGCTGGCAATAACAGATTGCAATCTCCGTGAAGGGGATATCCTAGTGGAATTTCTTGTCTATCCTCTTTGACAGCACTTGATCTTAGTGGTAACAATTTCGTCAGTATACCCGCGTCTCTTACTCGACTTTCCAAGAATCATTTTCTTGGATTGTCAAATTGCAGCTTGTGCAATCTTTCTGAAGGAGATATTCTTGGTCTATCCTCTTTGAAATCTCTTGATCTTAGAGGTAACAATTTCATCAGCATACCTGCATCTCTGATTCGGCTTTCCAGACTTTCTAATATTCGATTGTCAAATTGCAAGGAGCTTAAATCGTTGCCTGAGCTTCTAACAAGTATAAATGCTGTGTGGATTGATGGTTGCAAGTCTTTGGAACTAGTTGCATATCCATCAAAAGTATGCAAATCAATTTCACGAGGTAATGCAGTGTTTAGAGGTATTCACTGTTACAGATTGGCCGAGGAGATCAATGCATTATCATTGCTGAAAAAACATATCAAGGTCGACTGTTCTCTCTTTTTCCCTTACAAAATCTCGTTCTTAAGAATTTATGGTTTTAGTTACCAATGATAGCTGTTTAATTTTCCAGGTATTTGCAAACGCAAGAAAAATATTTAGCGTTTTATTCCTGGAAGTGAAATCCCAGAATGGTTCAGCCATCAGAGTTGAGTCCTCAATCAGGATACCACTGCCTTTCAATATTCGGAATGATAGTCAATGGATGGGAGTTGCTTTCTGCTGTATTAGTTACCAATGATAGCTGTTTAATTTTCCAGGTATTTGCAAACGCAAGAAAAATATTTAGCGTTTTATTCCTGGAAGTGAAATCCGAATGGTTCAGCCATCAGAGAGTTGAGTCCTCAATCAGGATACCACTGCCTTTCAATATTCGGAATGATAGTCAATGGATGGGAGTTGCTTTCTGCTGTATTTTTACCAATGATGATGCTTCCAGGGATGAGGGCCTTCTATGTAGAGCTGCTCCATCATAAATTCTGGAAAGGTTGGTTGTGATGGATCTGTTTTTCAGGGTAGAAATACTCAAGACTTCGATTGGAGTGGTTCGATTATAGGTAAACAATATAACCAACCCATAAAGAAGGACCACCTTTTTCTTCGTTACTAGTCGCCTGACAAATTTTATCCAGTTTCCTCGGAGTACAACTGTGTGAAAGTGAAACTGAGAATTTTCACCATCAGATTGCTCAAATCAGACTGTGATGAACTTGAATTGTCTATCAAACCCGGTAGTAGTGACAACTGTGTTAAGGTGAAGAAATGTGGTTCGAATAGTGTACGAAAAAGATTTAGAAGATGCCAACTTGTGAAAGAGCAGTGTAGCAGTCAAAGTTCTGTAGAAATTGAAGATATCGATAAAGACCTCGCTGCCGATGATCAATAGCTTGTCAAACCAAGACTTATGTCCATGAAGAGACATCAAGAGATGGCATTAAATAACAGGTAATTCATTGTTTTGCTAAGGAGGTTCATAGCTGCTGATGTTTTGTGATTTTGAGTAGTTTGTTCGAGTTTAATTTTTCGGGGTGTGAAGATGATGATGCTGTTGAGCTGTGGAGAAGATTGTGGGTGTCGGGGGATGATGAACACGTGAAGGATTATTTGGACTAAATTAATAAAGTTTGTAATTTAAAGGATGATTTCGTCAAATTATTAGAATTGGAATTAAATTGATTGAATTTGTAAATAGACGGACTGAAATTATTAGTATCCCAATTAAAAAAATACACGACACCATTATTTAGTAGTCAAAGTTGATTTAACGTCGATGATTGATGGTTAAAAAAGAATCAATTATATAAGTTCAGTAATTAAGTAGTTCCATTTAATATATATATATATATATAAAATAAAGAAGCCGTGTATTCAAATAAGGAGAGGATCTCAGCAAACTTATACAGTTTAGTTTTTAGGTTATTAGTCGACATTTCCTTATTTTTAGTTTATTATTCAATACTGCTATATCAACACTGTTCTAATTAAGAATTTAAATTACGGTTGCGATTGTATTTTCGATTATGTTACGTTTATCTCAATTACAGTAATAATGGGTGTATTGTAGTTATTGTGTATCGTGAAAATCATCTTCTGGAAGGCTCAAACTCAACGTTGATGGTGCTTGCCCACTGATCACAGGTACTGCTGCGTTGGTGTTTGTGGCTTGCGATGACACTGGCTTTGTGCTTGCTGGTCAAGCATGGGTTGTGTCCGACTACGGTGATCTTGCTATTGTCGAAGCCCATGCTCTCACGGCTGGCATTCCTCTTGCAATTGATCTTCATTGTCCGCATGTTTATTATCAAAGCGATGTCTCTAACTTGATTCACCAATTGCTTAATCGTCGCATTAATTTCTGTAGTTAGCTAACATCTTGTCGAAGCACGGCAAATCATGAATGGTCATTCTTATATCTAAATTCGTTATATTCGACGTTCGGTTAATACTATCGCTTACACTTTTGCTCATTGTTGTGTATTCTTCACCAATGTCTCATTGTCTTTTACATGTAATTGTTCGTACCTATTTCTACTTACTACTCTAAGATACTATTTTCGGATATTATTATTATGTATTACTTCAAAAAAAACGAGATAAGTTTTTATACTTTTGAAAAACAACAAAATATTATTTTTGCTTTCAGTTTACTCCCCTCTCTCCTAAGTTGTGTATTTAATACCCATTAGGAGCAAAAATATCTTTCGCTTTCCTCTAGATAGAAAAGTCAACAAAAAAAATTATTTCCTATAACAAAATTGAAAATAAGTTTTAGAATTTATAGAAGTGACTAAACTTGTTAAAAAAATATATAACAAGAATTTAATAAAATATACTTTTAAATAAGTTTATATTTTGTTAATTATCAAACAATAAAATCATACATTCCATCGACTAAACATGGTGCCATAAGTATTAGGTAAATTTTCATTTTAGCCATCCAATTTTAAGTGTACTTTTATTTTGATAATTCTATAACTTTTTTAATTAATCATCAAACTTTCGAAAACAAAAGGATCCAAAACGCAATGTTCTGATGTTGTATCACAACATTAAGGGAGAACTTCTGAGTGATTTTAAACAAAATTCAAAAGTTTAGTAAATATATATATTTATAATCGAGTGACTAAAACATAAACACGCTGCAGTTGTGTGAATAAGGATAATTTGCCCATAATTATTCCTGCATACCATCACATTAAGTTTAGTATTTTGAATGCTTTAAGGCCTTGAGCAAACAAGGTGACTTGACATAAGGTCATATGGTTTAATCTCCATATTCTTAAGACATTCTTTTATATTATCCCCAAAAGTAGAATACATTATGAAACATGAAAAGATTGAGTAAAATGTAAACCAAAAGCTCAAACACTGGTTCTCATTAACATATATGTTAATAAAACAATTAAAGAATTGGTAAACAATGTTTTAGTTACAATTAATTTGGAAGATTGGTATCACCATATACAACTACTGGGAATTCTAACTCATAAGCCAGGATTCTTCAGCCTCACCTGCAACTTACATTTTATGTGTGCCTGTATATACTAATTATAATCATCCAAAACAAAACATACTCTCATTATTAATTTCTTGACCGGGAAGCAAACGATGACATCTGCCTTACGATACGGGCTATGTCATCTTAGCCTGTTCATCACAACATCACCGACATCAGAATTAAAATCATAATCATATGCATGTGTATATGTATGTACTATTTACCTTTTACCTTTTTCAAATACTTCTTATGGAGCTTGATTGCCTCGTTACAAGCTTTCTTGGCATCCAAGCTTCCAGTTATGTCATTCAAAATCTGGTTCGTAGTCGAACACTATTATAAAGTTTGGTTCGTTGGATATGTATAAGAATTGGATTTATTTTCGTATTCGAGAGTCACCTTAACGACGTCATCGAGCCTCGAGCTTCGTGGAGTAGCTGGGTGCTCTTTTCTTTCAAGACACTGGCAACAAGGAAAACAGAGATGGGGAGGGGCTTCGTCGCTTTTTATTTTCATGTTCTCCTCTCGAACTTCCCGTAATGACGCATTGATCTTGATCTCATTTTAGATTCATTCATGCTTGATGATGGTTCTTCGTACAAATAGAACAAATCCGGATCGTATTCCAGCGCCCACATCATCTGTTCCGGTAATATCAACTGAGTTTATGAGTAAAATACCAGATTATACGACTGTTTGATACATGTTGGACATCAGTACCATACCTCCCATAGATACAACGAATCACAGAACGAGAACTCTCGACGGAACAGAACCATTAGCATTCGAACAGCAAACAGATAGTCACCTCCACCAAGTTTCTCTGTAAACCAAATATGAGAAAATTCACAAAGATATTATCTTTTGTTGCTCAGATTCTTCATTTCTTGGTTGAAGTTTTGATATTCGACCTCGTGTATGATGCATTCGAACTTGAGTTCAAGTAACGTAACAATGTCCAAAACTAGAGAATGAATAGATATAAGCTTAGTTTCGTACCTAAGTGCTGATGAAGTTTCGGATCGATAACTTGAGTTACCATAGCCAAATGACTAAGTTGTGACTCTACACCAACAGAGCTTTCAGTGCATCTGAAGTTCCCTCTCTTTAAGAAGCAAAATCAACACACAATAAGAAGCAAGCATGGACAACAACAAAATCGAAAAATGTATGCAACGATGAGTAACCGTATCCATCACATATTCGAACATACATATGTCGGATACACCAATCTGCGCATCATACGTTCGAAGCACCAAAATGCATCGGCTTCGTTCTCGAGAAGAATTATCATGGGGGAGGCTAGATCACTCATTCCTGCTCAACATGTTAATGAAGCAATCAAACGTCCGAAGAAAAAAAGTTGATGAAATTTTATCACTCACCTTGACAATATCCAACATCCCTATCTATCCAGGCATAAAAACAGCTAGAATATCCCAAAGTTTAGACAAATTCTCTTGCTTTTCATAAAACACTAAAGTCCTGTCAGTCCGTTAACATCGAGACCTAACGAAAAAAACCCGTTAGTACATATCCGTATTCAAATTCATTCCGATCGAATACGATAATATCATCGGCATACCTATTTGATGTAATAAGAGCCAGTTGATTATTCTCTGATCCAAAGGACCGTTACTGAGCTCCTTCACCATATCTGTACTATTAGTTGTAGTACCAGCTGAGAGATTTTTAATCACATATTAGTACCTGGTTTATTTCATTTTCACCAAAATAAATCATTTTTAAAACAGTAACCTGCCTGCATTCTGCCTCTTTAATCACCAAAGGTTCTTGAATCGGCTGACCATCTTCGGTTATTACCGGTGCTGTAATAAATTGGCCGCTTCCAACGACAGGAAAGATTTCATGACAAACACTCTTCCATTTCTCATAATGCTCCCTGAGATATGCACGTGAGAAAACACACACAGAAAAAAAATGTCTTAACTCGTATGACGTTACAGATTCTAATGATTTCCGATAAGATCGGAGGCAGTAAGACGCTGACCTTCGTTCCTGCCGTAGCTGCTCCCTTTCTTCGTACGTACTCCGAGGATCGAAACAGCCTAGAAGGAACCCAAACTTCTCCTCTAATCGTTGGATGGATCCCCTATGTTTGCCAAAAACTCCCCGATAAGCATAAACATGTACATATACATGCAAAAACAAACATAAACAGAACATATATTGATGCATTTGATTTTTGTGGATAATTTATCACCAAATTTAACATGATATTCGAATTTTTGAGTTTAAAACATATCAAAATTCGAGCACTTACCCCACGATGGATTCGACCTAGAGTTTTGCTAATATCCAGCTGCCCATCTGGAGCAAATGCAGCTTGCCATTTCCTCACACTTAGAGTTTTACCAGGCTGCAAAAATAAATCAAGAGGAAAAACTCTCTATTGAATCACAGGACCATTATTGTTACATACATACATATATACAAATATCTAATACATGCAAATTTGGAGATGACTATCCAGCTTAATTGGTAGAGCACAAGGTTCTTAATCTTGAGGTTTGAAGGTCTTCTACGGAAGTTGCTCTCAACCTGGTGTTGGGAGCAGCCTACTATCTTACCTCCCCTTACCCATTATATGAAATAAGGGACAGCCTTTTATGCAAATTGGAAACAAACCCTGGTCTTAAATTGGTTTCAGGAGCACAGTGCATTCAGGCCGGACCTCATACTAAGAATCAGCAGGTTGTTTATTGAATCACATCACCATTATTGTTACATACACATACAAACATACATACATGATAAATACATATAAATTTGGAAACAACCTTGATCTTAAATTGGTTTCAGGCACAGTGCATTCAAGCCGGACCTCATAATAATCAGCAGGTTCTGCAGGAGCCCCCCACATTTACCAAGAAAATTCCTTTATGCACCCAAAAAAGAAATCTTTGTTTTTTGTTTTTTTAAGCAGCAACAGCACCAACAGCTGGAGCTTTTTGAATAGAAAATGAAATATACAGAAAGGAAAAATCAAAGGAAAATGCGGGGAAATGTTGGAGAAAAAGAAAATGGAGAGAGCCCCAGCCAAGTATAGATATTCAAAAGAAGAAACAAACAGAAAAAAAGGGGATCTTTTTTTTCAATATTTTTTTGTTGGTTAGTTATGGTTTTATTGGTGGTGGGCTGCCATTGTTGCCATCTCACAAAACATAAGAGAAATGAACAGAAAAATAGTAAGTAAAACAAACAACAGCCGTTTTATATTCGTTAATTTTACCGGTCTTGCCTCTTCTTTCTCTGTCCCGTTCTTTTGTCTAAATTTAAAATCCATTGGAATTGACAAAGACAAGAGATTGTTGTAATGTCCATGTCATCATCATTCATTGTCTAAAATTTATCAGCTCGGTCCTAGAGAATTTAACAGTATTAGAAATGAGTGTTTGCAAATACAAAAGATCAAATATTATATTTTATATATATATGAATTATCAGATTTTTATTATAATATATATCAAGTAGATTCAAGCATATTTAATCAATGATGGATATAATGCCAAAACATATCCTAAATTTGATAAAATCATACTTTTATCTTTATTTTTAAGAATATTTTAGTTCTTAATAGACACATGGTTAGACTGTAATTAATAGTTAACGCTTGTTGTTGATGTAATATGACATGTGTATATAAGTGATGATATGACATGTCTATATGTTGGATATCTCCTTATTAGAGAGGTTCTAGAAAATTATAGAGCTTTCTGGAGAAGTGTAGAATTTTTAGAACATTCCGGAGAACTCTAGAGAAGTGTAGAACTCTCTAGAAGCTTGTGGAAGAGTGTGGAATCCTCTGGAATATTATGGAGATCTCTAGAAGCTTGTGGAAGAGTGTGAAATCCTCTAGAATTTCTGGAGTGTAAGAGCTTGTGGAAGAGTGTGGAATCTTATGGAATATTCTGGAGATGCGTGGAACCTTATGGAAGAGTATGGAAGGGGTGGAAGAATATAAAGTTCTTAGAGTGTGTGGAGTATTTTAGATAATAATCTCCACCCTTGGATGTAGTAATCCCCATTTCATTGTAGAGGTGGAGTAATATAAATAGGGTGAGACTTCATTCCTAACCATCCAAGAAATCCAAGCTTGAGAAACTAGAGAAACTAGAGAGTTAGAGAGCCTCTTTGAGAGAGAAGAGAGATAGCTTGGGAAGTCTTTTACCTCAAGCTTAAGTGGGCCACCAAGTGTGAGTCCAATTTTGTGAACACGTCATTGTAATCATACTATTCTTTTGTATAGTGGAAGAATTTCCAAATTGAAGAATTATACTCTTGTGCTCTCTTTGCTATCATAATCTCTAAATACGCATTTTACTTCACGAAGCGAGAAAGATCGTGATTCCCAACAATATACTAAAGATGATATAACATATGTTATATGTTCAAAGTATGATATAGTTTATGTTATATGTTCAAAGTGAGATGTGACACATGTCATATGACACAAGTAATGATGTGACTATGTCACATTATTACTTTGAATACATACGACTTATCACGTAAGCGGCAAACATTGACTATTAGTAGATTCTAGATTTCCATCAAATCTGAAGACATTTTGTTTAAGATGAAATGCTGGAGACTTAAATAATTTAAAATAAAAAATAGAGATCAAAGTGATGATCTTGTTGAATGCTAAATATGAGTTTTTGACATTATTTATATAGAAATTAGAGGCTATAATTCTATCATAAGTATTCCATCTATCTCTTATACTCGTGTCATAATTTATCAAATTAACATACCAATTCTGCTCAACAAGAATGGTACAATCTACTAGCTTTCTCTTGATCCTAAACTCTTGTAACATTTTGCAACCCTAATGATGTTTTCATTTGTGGTTGTTTGGCTCTGAACCTGAGATTGAGATTCTATGAGAGAAAAATTTGAGTTTTGACCTCTTGGGCATTCATCAAACACGTCAAAAGGCAAAAACTACCCTTTCATCAGTTGCAAACTTTGAAATTTTGCATAACAATCAACACTAATGCTCAAACACTTTAAGTTTCAACATTTCATTTTGTTCAAATTACCATTTTTAGATTAAAACTATTAGGCTACTAACTATCAACATTTGTTGTTGATGAGGTGTTTCTCCACGTGCTTAATTGTTGATGACATATCCCACTTCAATACTTAACATCTAGCATATATCATGTCAGTGCTTGAGCATATGTGACATGTGTCACATAAATAATTAATCATGTGTATATGATAAATAGCACACTAACAATTAAGTACACGTAAAAATGACACATCAATAATAAATATTGAACGTTAGTTAATTAATGAGTTTCGTCTAAAATGATCATTTGATTAATTCAAATATTCTAAAGTATGTAAAAAATAATTAAAGTGATTATTATGTCACATCAATTATTACGTCAAATGGTTAAAGTTGATTTTTGACATAATACTTAAATAAATCTAAATTCAAACAAATAAAAATAATAAAATTATAATTAGACTCACCAAACCTCATTTTTCAAAATTGTCTTCATTGCTCAATAATATGTATCTCGATTAATAACCCCTAATGATATTCAAGTGAGTGTAGTAGATTGGAATAGTGTAGATGGACAACCAAGACAAACAATATTAATTAGTTGTCTAAACTTGTCGGATCAGATTTCTGTACATGGTAACATCTATTACTAAATAAGTAATTTTTTTCTTGTTACAAATCAATAACGTTAGTAATTATTTTTAACTTTTTCAAACTTCAACAGTGAAAAGAAAAACTGACCCAAACTTTAATGACCGTCATGTTGTTTACCCTATATTCAAATAATTAGATACTAAATCAAAGCAAAGTATATAATTTGAGGGCTTATTAAGCAAATATGTTGTATGGAGAGCTGCATCGAATGCTGTACAACCCTTGACATCTAGGAATTCCACAAATATAGAGCTTTTTGTTCTTGTTTTAGATGAAAGGATGGTGTAGAATCCATGAACACACCCATTTTTCTTCGTAAACTTCAGCGATATATGCTATGGTGTTGTGATCGTTGATATTATGAATGTCACATAATATTACGATTATCACGAAAAAAATTTAATTTTTTAAAATACTTTTAAATCACAAATGTGTTACTACGATTCATAATCTTAAAAATCGTTATAATACACGCACAATAAAAAGTAGGACATGATGATGCACCATTGATTGAGTTGTTCACCATCCTCAACGGACTAGGTGTAATGAGATACTAATTTATGAATTATTCGATTTTAATTTAATAACGAGTAATTTAAATATTGTTCGAACTAAATTTAAACATTATAATAATTGATTAAAAAATGCGTGAGTCTAATCAATTTCTTTTATTAATATATTTTAACTATTTCATATTATTAAATTATATAAGAATGACACTCAATTGTATTCGAGCTCGAATAATTAAGTGTAAGTTAAAAAAATCGGACTTTAAATATTGGATTTCAGAGGTTATGAAAGTTTCTCCGTGGCTTAACGTTTCAATGTTTTCACCGCCTTGTTATCCTCTCCGAACTCCAAATAGGAACTTCCAATAAATCCTCCTTCTTTTCCTTATAAATAGGTATCAGCTTGATATTTATAACTTCATTCTTAGTAAAAGGAAGAGAGAGAAACTCGGGATTTCTGGGTATTTTAAACTTGTTTCAGATTTATCCATGTTTGTCATTTCTTCTTCATATTGAAAACTCTGAGTTTTCATTAGATTTTTCATCTGATCATTTTTTCAGTTGCTCGAACCACTTTGAATTCGGAAATTTCGAGAGAGAAAAAGTGATGAGTTTCAGCATCAAGCAATCAGCTTTAACAATGGGTGTTTCAAATTCAGTTGTTCACAAGAGATCTTCCATTAGATCTTCGTTTTCACCATGTTTGAACCTTCAAAACAACAACACCAACAACATAACACTCATTTCAGTGTCAAGGCCATTGCATATCTCATCCTGTAGAATGTCAAAGCACCTTTCGGTGCAATTAAGGCACCGAAAGTAGGTGCATAATTTTTTATTTTTTGTATGGATAAATTACAAACTATAGTCACTAAACTTTAGGGTATTTACAAGATTAAGTCCTTAAGATTTAGCTATAAATACCCTATCTCATTTAGCTTCAAAACCATCCCAAAACATTCTAGCTTTCTTCCAATACTAGAGAGATTTTAGAGAGTTTCTTGAGAGTTGTTTCTCATTTTATCTAGAGAGATTATCATTGTTTTCTCATTGGTAAATCGAGAAGGTTGTAATTCCTATTTTCTCATAGTGAAATTATTCTACCGATGCCCGTGGTTTTTACCCTAAATTTTTAGGGGTTTTCCACGTAAATTTTGTGTCTCTTTTATCTTCATTTTTATTTTCTCAAATTATCAGTTGCGATTTTGCTCTATCCGATAGCCGTCTTTCGCAACAATTGGTATTCGAGCTAGATTAGAGTGTGTAATATCTGTTTATTGTCTTTGTGGTTGCCACCAAAAGGTGGATCCTCCAACATAAGAAAATAAGAAGTTATTACCCATTCTTTGAAGGTTCCAGAAAACTATTCACGATAGTGAAATAGTGGGAGCTATCCGCAGAAGAAGTTATGACAACGAAATTTGATATTGAAAAATTCAATGGGAGAAATTTCTCATTGTGGAAATTGAAGATGAAGGCCATCCTAAGGAAAGATGGGTGTCTAGCGGCTATCAATGAAAGGCCGGTGGATTTCGCAGATGACATCAAATGGAACGAGATGGATAGGAATGCTATGGCAAACTTTCATCTAGCATTAACAGATGAAGTATTGTCAAGCATCGAGGAGAAGAAGACAGCTAAGGAGATATGGGATCATCTCATCAAATTGTACGAGGCCACATCATTGCATAATAAAATTTTCCTTAAGAGGAAATTGTACACTCTCCGTATGCCAGAATCTACTTCAGTGACGGAGCACTTAAATACACTGAACACCTAT